CGGCCCGCCGAGGCTGGGGACCAACCCCCCCTCCCCGACTCCGGTGCCCGGGGGGGGGTTTCACTCACATAACCGTACCGTGAGCGGTACCGGGGCTTTCTGCTGGGGGGGAGGTGAGGCGGGAAGGTTTGAACGAGCAGAGCCAGCCCGGACAGCTCTGAAACCTGAACTCTCTTAAATTTCCAGCTTCGCAAAACAAAGTGCCGTGTTGCAAGAGGGCCCCGCACGCCGGTTGAAAAACCAGTCTTGAGTGTACCTGTATGCACGTAACATGTCCGCCGCTCGTGCTGTAAATTTTGTGGAGCAAGCAGATAGCGTATGTGGCAAGAGTCGTGTTCTCTGAACTCAATTTTTCTTCTTGAGCACATATAAGTGCACGATAAGTAGTCCATTATGCGTGGTTGTTGTCAAAAATAGCATCACATCCGTGACAAGTTCTGCTATCAAAGCCCTAGCACAATTGTATTTCATCACTTGAAGTGCTTTAGCGTTGGCAAGTTTTTTATAGTGCTCGCAGGAAAACTTTGTATTTGTGCTTTAACACAAATTACAAAATTTGCAAATTGCAAATTACAGAATCTGGAGTACGTGAACAAGTTGGATCCTGTATTATACAGCTTTTTTTTTTTTTTTATTTTTTAAATATGCAGAGGTACCGTGCGCTTCTCTGTAACGTGTGGATATCAGGAAACCTGTCGTTGCTCTTCAGTCTTGTCAACATAAGTGCATGCGCATCTGATGACTCCTTCAAGTTTTCTTTTTTTTTTTTCGATGATATTTCTATTTTTCACTTTCAGATTTAATTCAGTTAAAAAATAATAAGTATGATACTCTCTGCCGTGCTAAACTACGCTTAGTGGTAGTTTGACAATGCTGTGAACAGGAAAATTCTGTGCTTTCTTTCATTGATTTCTCTAACCGTTTCCTTCTGTCTGTTTAAACTGATCTTACTAATGTAGGGAAATCATTGCTCTTCTGGAAGACCTTCTGTTCCATTTCACCGGGACTTCCCACCTGTGTCTGTATGTCTTGGATAATATTAATACCTCAGGCAGTTGAGTTTTTGCTTAGAGCAGAAGTCATTACAAGGACAATGCCTGTTTGTCCTTTCCTTTTCTTTGAAATAGTTTTCAATCTTTTGCTTTCCTTTTGCCTTTTCAGGTACGCGTGTGTGACGTTAACTGGTTGTGATGTTCTTATACCTGAACTAGCAGTCTGGAGGTAGTCATGGGTGCAGAACATATTGTTGCCTTGACATTGCATGGTTCAGTACTGTGCTATGACATGGTAATACGTTTCTAGATCCAAATTAAAATCCCACGGTGTAAGGATGTGCACACTTAGGTCAGGGGCTGTTGGGACTAGTGTAAACATGTGAAGCCATTCTTTATGGAGTTGGGTCGGCGCATGTGTTGTAGCACCTGGGTCTTCATGTCGCCTGCCCAACAACACGGGTTGTTTCTCTGCCTGCTTTGCTTTGGGAGTTTGTGTGCTGAAATTTTTTCACTCCTGTGACAGATTGTATTCTCCCCTCTGGCCCGTCAGAGTAAAAGATGCCCTGGATACTTGCAAATGCACAGATTCTGTTCTGTTTGGTCTGCTTTTCTGTGTGCAATAAACAGTCGTCTTTATTAATTTTCAAATGTCTCTGTTGATTTCTAATTCCAGTAACTTTTGTCATCGTACTTTACAAATCTCACCTCTTCCTGTTACCATCTGCTCAGTCAGGTCTGGCTACTTCTCATTGTGTTTCTTTTGTTTCCTCAGTGTTGTACTGGCAGCGCTGTGCAAAAAGCTTATAATTCCTTTCCTGTCTTTTTCTGACTTAACAGGTTTAGCTATCATCTCTTCTATACTCGTGCACATTACTTGTTCCTTTGTGCTTTTCACGAGAGTGTCTGATGTGCTACCTGTGAAACACTGTTGTGGATTCATGTGTTTTACAAAGCTTTGTTTTGTTTTGTTTTACTGTAGCCTCTGAACAAATATTTCACTGTTGCCCTACAAAAGAGATTTAATTAGTGACTTGCAGCTTAAGAGACTCTAGTCCCTCATACAAGAAAGCCGTTGTCATGTTTATGATGACTATAAAGCCATTCAAACTGTAAACTCTAACTTTTCCTTACTGGATGAAAATAATAATTAAAAAATTAGTGGTATTTTTGGCCTTGTTGAATCTAAGAATGCTTAAGCCAATGCAATTTAATAATGCTGTGGGAAGAAATAGACTTGCCCTTCCCAGTGGCCTCCTTCTTGATCTTCCTTTTGTGCCAGCACATGCATTTGTACAACTGCGTAAGACTGAAGAAATAAACTAGTGGGAGAAAAATGAGCATTTTTCATGTGGACCTCTTTTCCGAGTTGAGGACAGGGTGAACTGTGCATGGAGTGCAAGAAGAGGAGGTTTCTTTTATTTACTTCAAGATCAGCATCTGTAATCCACTGCTAAAATGCCTTTTATATTAGAATGCAGATTATGTGAGGTTCCCAAATAGTGTGACAAGTTTATTTGGGGAAATATTAGAATAAATCTATTCACATAGCTACTTGTGTGCAAGATACAAAAAACAGACTACTTTTTTTTATTTTTCCTGTTTACTCCTGTGTATAGATTAAATGTAATAAAACCAAACATGCTTTGAAACTCCATGAATTCTTTCTGTCAAGCAAACTGGCTAAAAAAATTCCTGAGTAAAGAGCACTGTATAGCAAGCTCCAGAATAAAAATTCAGCTTGTTTAATAGAAGTGTTGCTTTTACCCTGAGTATTTAACCATGAAAATTCAAGATGTAGAATTTCAGGTTTTCAACTGTGAGATGTAGTCTCCAATAGTGTGATAATGCCTGTTTCTATTAAGAATGTTGTTTTTCATTATTTGTTACTGAATTTGCCTGAGTAGATGTCTTACAAGCGGTAGTCAGCTCTCCTCTGATCTTAGCATGTGAACCGTAACTAGAACATAACTTGGCCTGGTTGTTAGAAAATGTCACTATAACTCTGTACGGCCATTTAATCTTTCTTCTCTCTCCTAGGTTGCTCTAAGGCCTGAAAAGTTGACTGGAAACAACACCAGAGTGGAGGTTACAACACTGTGGTAAGTATGCTATTTTAAAACATAGAGGGGAGAAGCTGGGAAAGGAGCTGATATGGAATCATGAGTCCAGGAGTGAATCACCCAGTGATGAATTGTCTACAGCTTTGTGTGGGAAGATTAAAGTGCTGGGAATTTTAAAAGAGGAGAAGGCGGTAGCTGGTAGCATGTTCTTGCTCACAGTGAAGGAAAGGAATATGAATGCAGAGTATGAGGACAGGTACTTGATGCTTCACGTTTTCATAAAACTGTAAAATACTAATCCATTCATCATCACCATGTGGTTGCTAGTTATAGCATTATTATTTTCATTACTGCTCAAGTGGAAAACTGGGGAGAAACATAATGTTTTCCATTAATAACGTGCAATTTTAGTGACGAAATCAAAACTGGAAGTTGGCTATCCTCGACACCATACTCTACTAGCTTTTACTAATTAACTTTATTAGTTTGTAAGAATGCAATGGTAGTGGTAGTTTATCTTTGCAAAAAGGAGATATTTTAGTCTCATTGCACATTATATCTTACTACAATAGAACTAATCCACAGTATTTCTAATGAGGTTATTTATTCTTTTTTTTCCTCCCAAAGTGGCTTTCTAGAAGATGACCATAGAGGATCTCCCAGAACCTTCCGTAGAAGGAGATTCCCTCATTGAAAGAGAACGGTTCTTATTCTCAAACTCTGAAACATCTGTTACTTTTTCTGTTGCTGCAGCACCAATGCCTTCAGACTGTGGTATGTATTTTTAACAGAAAATGAATTTGTGATCAACAGAGAATAAATTTGAATAATAAATTTTAAGAAAAGCTGTCAACTCTTAATTTATTCCTTCTTTTCAGAAGTAGTTTACTGCTTGTAAATGAATTCTCTATTATTTTTTTAAAGGAAATGAAAGATGAAGACCCATGCTTTTTCTGTTTTTCTTATCGCATGCATTTTAAATTATAATATCTTCTCCTTCTTACTGTTTCTTCTGGGTGTGTGGTCGGATGTTTGTAGGTTTTTTACATCTTGGTGTAGAACTGGATATTGTGTTAAGATGTAAAATTTCAGTAATTAAATGTAGTTAAGCATATACATCACATTTAAAACCTCTGGAGTTACACTTTCTCATGCTTTCAGTATGTAAACAATATAGGGGGATGCTTCTGTTGGAAGTGTAGGTGTTTGTGGTGGTAAGGACTGTGAAATGAGTGTTGGAAAACTATAGCAAGTATTGGTGATCAGCTTTTGAAATAATGTTGAATTGTCTTTGCTTGTATAAATTATAATATTTTAAACAGGATATGTAATATATTAATATGCCAGTTTAGGTAAGGATCTGCATAGATAGCTACAATTATAAAGCCTTTGAATATTGCAGAAGATGTTAATAGCATCTATATACCTTAAAAATTACTGCATCCACCTGTTTTTCCTATGCATTGATTAGAGCAATCAACTGTATTCAGGAAAAATAAATACATGTAATGTTCTGTCTTTGACAGACTCAGCATTCTGGAGACCTGTTTGATGAGTTAGCACAGGTTGGAATTTTAACAGCTCCATAAGATATATTTTAATACATGAACATCTGTCTTTACATGGTTTAGCCCTATTATCATAACTTGTCTGTCCTATTCTACTCTTTAAGTACTGCCATGGTTTATTCTGTTCTTCCTTCTTATCCCTTAGAAAAATTTTCCATTTGTCCTTCTTTAAACATTGTTGTGTTGTGATATCTTCTAATAACACTACAATATTGCTACTGTCTGTCCTACTCGGTCTATGCCTACTCATTGAATAAAAAAATTTCCTTTTATAGGAGGTTGCTGTCACCTGTGTAACAGTAATATTACTGAATCTGGGTAAAGAAGGTTAAACCACAACAGACAAAGATTTTTGCTCATTACATTAAGTGCATTTATTTTTCCTTAATACAATTGAGCACAGTAATCACTGCATGGGAAAGATAGAGGTGGAGAAGGTAATGTTTTAATGTGTCTAGGTGCCATTGTCATCCTTTCATGGAACTTCTTGTTTTAACAGATTTTCTGTAACGTCTCTTTGGTTTGCAAACACTACAGCTGATCCCCTGTTAAGCACTTATGGTGGTTGTTATTAATACTTAATATAGTCTCAGGTTTTTACCCTAGCATGCTGATTGTAACATTCTGTTAGAGTTGATTTCTGATACATAATTTGATTCAGGTTTGTAGCTAGAAATCTTCCTGGTAGAGTAAGAATCATGCATGTTGTGTAAGATCATTAATTTTGTTGGCTAGTTGTCTGTTTAATTCATAGCTTTCAGCAATAGATCAGCTGTGGTTTATATGGAAGTTAAATATTAGTAGATAAATCAGATCTGCGTCAACGCATAGGATGTAGGTGAGAAGTACACTTTGTGTAGTACTGGGAGATAAGGGGTTTGCTTTTTTTTATATGCTAGGTGCAAATACAAATTCATGCTAAATATCAGTGAAGTTGTCCTCCTTTTTTCATTCTTATTGAATCATGGCAATGCAGTGAGAGGAACTCTAGATAGCCAGGAGGTGAGCTCCATATGTGCCTTTATCTGTTAATCCAATCTAGAAGTGCGGTATGCTCTTTCTGAGGAAAGGTTATGATGATTCATCCAGAGGTAGTTTATACTATGTCGTACACCCAGATGGCTGATGTCCTATTTTACTTAACCTGTATGTCCATTCTGAGAGCCTTGTATCTGCGATTGATGCAAGCTGACATTGTACATTTATTTGAAACCTTTTAAAAAGGCAACTCCCTGATAGCTGCAGCGGGGGTAAAAGTTCAGTGTTTTCCATGATTCAGTCACTTGCTGATGACAGTAGGTTCTGCTTCCATTCCGTCTCCTAATAGCCACTGCTATCCAGATTCTTTCATATAATTTTCCGGTTGGAAGAAATTCCACAAATTTCAAGTATAGTATGTGTATACATGCACACGCAAATGCCTATAAGTAACGTGAATAATAAGGTAAGTAACGTTTAATAATAAGGTGGTTTTTACACCTATACTTTGGGTTGTCTGAAGCAACATGAGGCTTAAAGTCTTTAAAATAATCTTTTTTTTTGATCTTGGTTTGATGGCTTAATTTTTAAAGGTGTTTGTTACCTGCAGCTGCCACCAGCTGGGACTGATACATTCATGAAATATCTGAAAATAACGGAGGCCATAGAATGCCTTCCTGATTTGTGCATGTGTTTATATTTTGGTATGTTTTATGTAAATTGTGATGGAACAAGAAGGAAAAGACACGTTTTGTAGCATATGGAGAAATCATGTACGCATTTAATCACTGAGAGATCAAGAGGCTTGTCTGTGCTTGGGAACAGCTTAGAATCAGCAGTCTTTGGCTAGCTTGAAGCAAGAGTAAACCCTTATTAGCATAATCACTGCACATCTCTGTTAGTCCTTGCCTAAACTTAAAATCAGTCTTGTAGTATCATTGTATTGGTTGCCGATTCAAAGCTCTTTCAGAAGTATAAGCAAGACCTTAGTGTTAAAGGAAAACTAGACCAGATCTTAAAGAAAATTTTCTAAATTAATTCAACATTCTGATTTTCCAGTGTAATTAGTGGTGAAGTGACTCTTTCTGCTATTCTTTGCCTCTGAGTTTGAAAAACTAGATGCATGTTAAAACTTAAAATTGTACCTAATGATTCCTTTTTTTTAACAGAGTTTTCCTTCTTCGATCCCAATGACGCAGCATGCCAAGAAATACTTTTCAACCCCAAAACATCAGTTTCTGAATTGTTTGCTATCTTAAGGCAGTGGGTTCCACAGGTCCAGCAGAATATTGATATTATTGGGAATGAGGTGAGGTATAAATGAAGATCCTTGAATGCTTTCAGTGTTAAAGAAATACTCTTTTGACAACGAATAAAAAGAGTTCATTCAGAAGCAGAACTACTCATAAAAGCAGATACAGTTTCTGCCTTTTAACAAGTAGTTACTGATCAGTGCCTTGTATTCCAGGTGTTGTCAGCTTTCATTTGGAAAGAGAAAGATGAAGGATAAAAAGTCAGTGTATTTGGATAGATAGTAGAAACGTTGTTTCTTTTCAAAGCAGTTGTTTAGAGACCCTTCACCTTGGTGTTACAGTTTCCTACTTAGCAGTGATCGTAAACTCCAATATATGAAATTACAGTGAAGCCTGACCTTAAGGGCAATGTTTCCAAGGCACAAAATGAGATAGGAATTGAAATCTCTTTGCAACCTGCAATAGGCTGCTTTCAGAAGACACCTTGTTTCTATTAATTCCATCCTACTTTCTTATTTTTCTTCTTCCGGATTACAGGCTTTTCTAAACAGGTGGAGAACTATAGTAAACATTCTTCCTACCATGGTATAACTGAGGGCTTTTTTTGCGGGGGAGGAGGGGAATTGTTGAGAGATCAAAGAGCAAGCGGAGAGACTTCATAAATGATGTCATTTTCCTATTGTTCAGTTAAGCAGTTAACTTTTCAACATGTGAAATGTATGTTAGAAGTAATAATATAAAGAAGCTTTAAAATCTGTAAACAATGAAGGTTAATGGTATTCATATAATACTATTTATTACATTTGTGCATGTTGTTCAGTTCTGCAGTTACAGTCTATTCTGGCAGGCTTCTTTGTTATTAGCCATTGAAATGAATCCAGGAGTCAATATATCTGAAGTAACTTACTAGATAATACTGATGTCACAGATATGCCAGAGCTAAAATCCGCTTCTTTTCCACTTCTCCCTCAGATCATTAAAAGGGGTTGCAATGTGAATGACAGAGATGGACTGACTGATATGACTCTCTTGCATTACACTTGCAAATCAGGGGCTCATGGTATTGGTGAGTAAAGAAACATCATTATAGATATAAAAACCTAGTTCACAAAGGCTAATCCCACTGACTATTACAGAATTTTTCCTTGCAGTAGATTTTTTTTTTTCTTTTAATGCTTGGTTTTGGCTCTTCTAGTGGTCATCGGAAAGGAACATACAGAACTGTAGTGCAGTTATGGCTGTGGCAATCGGGAGTAAGTTGAGTTAGTGGTATAGGTATTGCAAATAATAGTACCAGCTTAACCACACATTTTTAACGTAGCAAAGGCTGTTTCAGACTGACATACAAACTGCGAACTAAGCTATCAGTGGTTTTCTAACATTGGTGAAACTAGAACATTAGGTGACTGGCTGTTCTTTTTTTTTTTTTTTTCTTTCACCTTGATCATGTCAGAAGAAAACAATAATCTTTGTTCACATTATTATGATCATAAGTACTGGAAATAAGAGCATATTTAACTCTGCTTGAACACCCATATTAGCTTTTCAGTGTTATGTTACTTTTTTGTAAGTAACCCAGCTCTCCTCTGAGTTTGAACTAAGTTTCTGAGCGACGTCTGGCATAGGGTAGCTTTTCTGGTGTTGGCAGATCTTTTAACATAAACTTCAGCATTCTGGTGTGTAATTTTTTTTTTCTTCTATCAGATACTAAAATCCCTGGTTTTGATGGGTGACACATTATTTACATTAGAGATAAACAGGTAGTGTTATTATATACTGTAGTAGAGATTTGAGCTCTTTATGATAAAAGGCAAAGATTTCTGCATCCTAATCCTAAAAAAGAAAGGCACAGTAATTGTTCTGCTGTGAGCTTTAAGGGTTTAACGTACATTATGTGTAACGCATAAGCATGTGCATGCTTTTTGAGGTCACATAAATCTCTAATGCATATTTTACAAATTTTGCCTTGCAGGTGATGTTGAAACCGCTGTAAAATTTGCGACGCAGCTTATTGATTTGGGTGCTGATAGCAGTTTACGCAGCCGCTGGACAAATATGAATGCCTTGCATTATGCTGCCTACTTTGATGTTCCAGAACTTATTAGTGTTATTTTGAAAAATGCAAAGCCAAAAGGTAGGCATTGTTACTTTTGTTTCATGCAGTTTTCCATATTTTGTTACTCTGTTGACCCTAAGCTGGTGTGTAGTGGTCTTTAAGTGTGGGGTTTATTTATCTATTATACATAAATAATTTCTAATTTCTTATTATTTTAGTCAGCCTCATTGGTTCATTTTTTTCTCTTAACTTTTTTTTTTTTATGTGTGGTTTAAGCACTGATTCCATTGCTGGCTTTTAAACTGGAGCTTTGTACAAGATTAGGTAGAGAAGTATCTAATAGAATGGAAAGTAAAGAGGTTAATTCCAAGTTGTTGAGGACTAAGAGAATCTATGCGGAAAACAAAAGATGTAACTATTCTGGTAAATTCTTAGGGTTTTTAAGATTCCTTAAACACTGAGAAGTATGTCTGAAATGCTGGGAGAAGGGTAAAGGAGAAGTGGGGATTTGGCAACGGCATGTGGCAAACTAGTGACTGAACCAACTTTGACATGCTCATTTTTCCCACTTCTCAGCTATCTAGAAGGTCATGTGTAAGGAACAGTTTGACTTCAGTGTTTGGCATGAATAGATAATACCTTTTGGAATGATAATATGAAGGATTGGTAATTGGAGAGCCCTATTTACACTAATGCAAATGGAAATATAGAAATGGTTCTGAACCAGAACCACTTGTTCCTAATTTGGTCAGGATATCAAAACCTGTAAGCAATTTTAATACTGAAATTGTACAAATGTTAATTTGTTCTATTGAACAATCTTCTGATTGTGCCATTTTGCAAAATGATTAATGCTCTTTTTTTTAGCTAGTTCTAGCTAAAGACTCTGTCTCTAAATTCTAAAAAGCTGATAGGTTTTTGGAGTACACAAGGCTTGCTTACCAGATCTTGACTCATCCTGGATGTAATTGTTAAACAGGGCTGTTATTGGTATGACACGTTTAAGAGGTAACAAGTATAGGTTGTAACAAAAGACAAAATAAGACTGCACAATAGTTAAGTCCACATCACATTTCAATAGTCCAGTCTCCATAATTTGCATCAGCAGATTAGGTCTTCTTTGGGACCTTGTTTGCATTTGGTGTTCTCATTTCCTCCTGTGCAGTGCCTACAGAAGGGGTGGGAATTTGCTCAGATTTCCAAGGAAACCACTCTGGTTAAATGCCTTGGCAGCTGGCAACTCTTGGATAAGCAGATGATTTTTTTATCTCAGAAAATGTATAAAATTATTTGCCCTGTGAAATGAAAACAACGTATGGTCTGAATTAACAGAAAGAATACTCTTAGCTCCATACTTCATCAGGCGGCATGCAGAGAAGGGAGGATGTATGTAGAAGGCAAATATGCCTTGGATGGATCCATACTGAACTGGAGGAAAAACGGTTGTTAATGTATAAATAACTTTTCAAGACAGTGGTATACTGACTCTGAGACACCCATTGTGAAACAGCCAGTACCACTGATGTTTTCCTTTTGATTTACTGCTAAACTATTTCCTTTATGACACTCTACGGTTAAATTCTTAATACAGATTTACTCCTCAATTGTTAGAACAGAGAGCTAGTTTGATCTTAGATTTTTAGAGGTTTTAAATATAAAAATTGTGAAAGGCTTAATAATTAGAAATGTTGTGTGGTGCCACTAGACAATGACTGTAATCTGCATGGTTTGCTAATGACAGACCATTGCTGCATATTGATTTCTCCTAGGTAGTTTGGGGGTAGTTACTGGGTAACGTTTGATATATATGTTTCTTTTTGTCACCTGTACTATGCTAAATTAGACCTAGAACAAAGCTGTAAGAAAACAGTGTTTAAATACTCCAAGCATGAAGCTTGCAAGTCTGAGGAAGTCACACTAGTCTAATTAAACAAAACAAAACCCTACATGTCAGTTGCATGTACTCCTATTTTTAAAATTGTCGCTGACTCAGTAGCTGATGTTACTGATCAGTATTTCTGCAAATTGGTTCCTGTGTGTGCAGAAAATACTTACTCAATAGCCTTATTAAACATGGAAGTTTCAATGGTTGTATACAACTACACGGCTTCTACTCAGTTTTAAACTGGTAATGGTCTTTTGACATTTGATAAATTAAAGTTACATCTGCATACATAGCTGCTGTTATGATTGTGTCATGTGAATGCAGTCTTTTTTCATGCATGTGCCAATTAAATTTAAAATAGCTAAGTTTGTATTCATATTAGTGCAATTGTAAAACTCTTAAGATTTGATCCCAAATTTGTTACCTTTGATCTTTATCACTATGTATAAAGTTGACCTATCTATACAAAGACATACATATTTATATATTTTCTATATATGTTGATGTTTTATTTGTCCCTGAAATACTAGTTTAGTATAACTATATAAGGATGTTGATACAGTTGGGATATACCTTGTTTATCACATTGTGAGAGGGGCTAGTGGTTTTTGGGGCAGAGGCTGATACTGGAAAATATTGGGAGACTGTACAGCCCTGAGGTAGAAACTTTTATGTTCCTCACCAGTATTTCAAATTGGAATATTATTGCTAAAACTTGTTGGCTTTTGGTTTTTTTATTAAATCAGCTGGCATTTTTAATTAAGTCATATGCATAATTGACTCAAACTGACATCTCTCTTGTATAGTTTAGGAGAGGGGCCAAAGACTAAATAGACGTTAGAACTCCAATCTTCTAGAACAGTAATAACTTCATAGCAGATTGAAAGATGTATTGGGAACAACTGACAGAAATACGTATTACGCTAAATCTCTTCTAGTCAAATGCAGTGCTCTATTTTCCAAACTATCAGTGCAAGACCCTTCAGAGTGCCATTCTTTGAAACCAAAGAAATTATAAAAATCACTAGCTCTTACTTTGTTCTTGACCATTAGTAATTGAATCAAGGTAAAGCAGAGGTATAATCAGTTTTCCCTTGCCCCCCTACCTGCTCACAAAGGAAAACAACTTGTTGAAGATGCATCTCCTTTTAACATTTGACATCTAGAAGCAATAAATATAAATATTTCTGAAACATTAGTTTACATGCGAACCTCAAGTTACTAACTTGTTAATCTTAGCACAGTTGATTGGGCATCCCGAATAGCAACAATTTTGCAGTTAAGTCATCAGTATTATAAAATGAATGAAAGTAAATGCTCATCTTCCAGACTGGTTCATGGTATGAATAAACAGATGCAGATAAGGTTGATGTTCTCTGTAGAATTACTTCTCATATGCTTTTAGTACATAAATAATGGTGTCTCTATATAAATGTTAACATAATCTGTAAAAATGAATGTCCTCTCAAAGACTGTGTAGGGTGAAACGTTCACGTAACAGACTTGCATACCTCACATGTGATGTTTAATTGCAGATGTGGATGCCACCTGTAGTGATTTTGATTTTGGAACAGCTTTGCATATTGCTGCATTTAACCTATGTACAGGAGCTGTCAAGTGTTTACTGGAACATGGAGCAAATCCTGCCTTTAGGGTAAGGAGTAAGGTTGTAGATTCACCAAAAGGTGAAAAAAGTACCTGGAAAATTTGAACAGTCTATCCAGGATTTTGGTTAGCTAAAAATGTGTTATATGGAGTGATAGTGCCTCATAAAAATTATTTATAACTCATAGTGGATGATTTTGTATGCTTTGTCATACTTTTGTGTTGAAGTTTGTGTTTTTGTGTCACAGTCTAGTTCATTAGTTCAAATAGCTTTCAAGATGTTCTTCTATTTGTTGCTTGAACTTTCATTTGTTAATACTCCTTTGTGTCATGCAACAGTTGTCATGGCAGTGGTGGATCTTTTCAGAAATACAGGAGTGCAATCTGTGACCTCCAGAAATGCAGTGTATTGCTTAGCAGTAAACTTAGCATAAGTAGCTGAAAATGAAGAAACATTAACTGCCCTGCTTATTAACCAAACAAAAGGCCTGAGTTATAGTGTAAAGTGCTGCTATATGCATGTAGCCACAAATCTTGGGTTTTGATTGTTTTTGTGGGTTTTTTTGTGGGTTTTTTTGTTCTTTTTTTTTTGTATGTTTTTGGGGGTGTGTGTGTGGTTTTGGGTTTTTTTTTTTTTTTTAGCATAGGTAGTATCTCAGTTCTCCATTTTCAAATTCAGGGATTTTTTTTTTTTTTTATAATGAGAAATTATAATTGTCTTAAGGGTACTCAAAAGTCATTATTTTATGTATCACTGATGGTGTGAAATCTTCTGGAACATCATTGTTCATACAGTTCTTCACGATATTCAATCTAGATCTCTTTAAAAACGCTCTTTTTCTTCTTTGTCTCATTATTTAGTGTGCATGTACATGTTTCAAATTCTATGGCAGCTGTACGTTTAAGAGTCTGTTGACACAGGGAATACTGCTTTGTAGTTGCACAAGCATTCTGAGCTGGCAAAAGGTGGCTCTGCCCTTGACAAAAGCAATCCTGTGCCGCTGTGCCCACTTCTGCCTTCTTGCCTCTGCTCTGCCCCCTGCCTTGTGTTGACACAAAGTTTTCCAGGGCACCTGATGGGCTGAATTGCAGGACTGATGTGACCGAAAGAATCACTAATGTGATGACTAAAAACTCAAACTCCCCACTTAACTTTAATGTAGCTATATCCTGTTTTTAAGGTACTGTGACTTGAATGGGGCTGACCTTTTACTTACAGAATGACTGTAGATTTTTAAGGAATGCTAAGTGTTTAATTCTTCAATCCCACAATAAAGTTCTGACCAGAGACTTTGTAGATTTTGCCTCTGTGAGGACAGCAGAGTACAAATGCGGAGTAAGGATTATAGTTTTCTAGGGCTGAGACAGGGAGATTTATAGGGAGCTCAGGGAAGGTTGAGCTTTTAGTCTGTTTTTTAAGGAAAAAAAGCAAATAAAGTCTCGCTCTGCGTCATTCCCTCTGAGCTTCCAGTAATTTCTTAGTCCAGGGGCTCAGTTGAGACGAATCTGGAAGTCTGAGATAATTATGTTTCCACAAACTTTGTGAAAATTGGCAGATAGGTGAAGATCCATACTAATGCCTTTGCTGAAGAAAGCATAGGTAGAACTTGCCATTGTAGCAGCCTGACAGCCCAACAGTGTCCTTGCTGTCTGATCACCTGGCCTTGAGTTAAGGTTAACTCCAGGTGAGCTGGTACTCCAACAGCTCTGGCCTAGAGCGAGTACACAGAGCGTATCACAGTCACTGCTCTCTGGGAATGGGACGTGTTTGGAAAGGACTCCGTCCTTAATTCATCTCTCATGGAATAGTTTGTATCTAAATAAAGCTGAACAGATTTATTCAAGTATTTATGTGAGACACCAACTTTGTGTATTCTATACATGCAACATATATTAATTAAATTCTATCTTAAATTCGGAATAAGCCTTACCAAGGAGTAAACTATATACTGGGTAAAGATAAATTCTTTGGGAGGTGTTAGCTTTACAGTATTGGTGTTACAGACCAGAATTCTTGCTTACTTTCCTAAATCTGTGTTCAGGTACACAGATATATACAGGTGTTTTTTTCATGTGTTCTGAGTATTAATGATGTTTGTAGGATTAAAAATTTTGGTAACTTAGCACTTTTGAAAATAAGACACTGTAAATGCTAGTTTATATACCTAAGGATGTTTTGGCAGCCTTATTTGAAAATTTGGATGTTTTTATAGTTGTTGATATTCTAGGAAAAATACCTAATGAAGAGGATTAAAAATTTCATAAACTGCTGTGGTTTTGCCTGATCAGGTTTATCTTGTCACAACATTAAATTCTATGTTTTGTTTCTACAGAATGACAAAGGGCAGATTCCAGCAGATGTGGTTCCTGATCCAGTAGATATGCCACTGGAAATGGCAGATGCAGCGGCCAGTGCAAAAGAAATCAAGCAGATATTGCTGGATGCAGTGCCTCTCTCCTGTGACATCTCAAAAGCCATGATTCCAAACTATGATCATGTCACAGGCAAGGCCATGCTTTTATCGCTTGGCCTGAAACTGGGAGATCGTGTTGTTATTGCAGGACAGAAGGTATGATGAGCAACCTGATACTACCTTCATAATTTCTGGACAGTCAATTTATATACCCTTTTGGAGACATACCTCAAATTTGAGGGTCTATAACACTTTCTGGAAGGTATGAACTCTGGATGGCAGTAAGGATCTAGTTACAGAAAGTAATAAGCTGAACAGTTATGTGTTAAAGTCACTACTATGAAAAGCTGTTTTGACAGGCACAGTCTGCATTTTATATCTGTAAACAATTTTTTAACAGTCTCCTATATTATGTCAGCATGGCTCAGCTTTTATTAACGTTTTTGGTGTTGCATCAAAATGATGGTAAAATTTACAGATTACTTTGTGGGTTGCCCAGCTTTCAGTTATGCTTATGCATTTGTGAATTACCCCTGATAGTTTCCAGAAGGCGGTAAAAGAAAACTTTAAATCTGCTTAGCCTGTAGCAACCCAGTTTCACTGGTGCAATGCAGCTAAAATCTTTGAAGCAGTCCTGTGCCAATGGGGTTGTTACACGGTTCTGTGGAAGTGTAAGAATGCAGCTAGTACTGGTCCAGCTCAAACGTGAGTAGCTTTTAAGAAGCTACCTTGCCAGACACATTTTAAAAAATGTATTTGAAAAATGTAACATTGACATTGCAGTTAGTATTCATACCTTTTATTTGCTCTGATAGCAAGGGCTCTGAAATGATTTAAGAGTGCTAGAACTCTTTTAAAGATTTCAGATGTTTTTTCTGGTAAATATTGAAGGCATTTGTGAGCAAAATTTTATATTTGAGTAGCTTTACCTTTAATAACTTTTCTAGTATGACTTCAGATTTGTAATTGTCACAACGGAAGCATTCTAAAGTGAACTCCACTGAGAGTGCAAAGCAGCTTCCATTTTGTATTTTCATTTGGTGTATTCTTGAAATTGGGTCAGGAAAAGTGAAGGCATTGCGAGCTACGCAGAAGGCATTTTAACTAAATGACGTACAGGAAGCCGCTTGTTCGTTAAAGACAGAAGTTCATGGAAGTTTCTTTTACAGAAAGCCATAGCACAGTGAGAGCTAGGGGAGATAATGTAACTGCAAGTTAACAGAGGCTTTATAGCAAGAAAGGGAAGAAACTAGTCTTCTTGTGTATCTTTCCTCCAAGTAAGGCCCATAGAACTGTTTGTACTGTAATGTGCTTACCGTCTATGGATAAAGCTTCCTGGGTTTGGTTACTTTTTTTTTTTTTTTTAACCGAGTATGCTATTACAGTGTTTTTTAAGAAGTTGTTGGAAGCTGTTTTTCTGCTGCCAAAGGCCAGCAGGGCTTTCCAACTAGTTTTTAAGGGAGCCAAAGCTGTCATATGGCAGGTGGGAAGGAGGAATGTGATTGTGCTTTTTGGTCTTCCTTTTCCACGTCTGCTTTCCTCCATTCCTTTCTTTGTGTGCGAGGAGCTGTTCTGCATTACTCCCACAATGTTTCCCATCCACTTTCTCCATTTGTCTGAATGGAGAAGTTGATCTCAGCCCTGTCTTCCCCTCCCCCTTGATACTCATAAATGTGTGCAGGGTGGAGCAAAAGTGAGAACAGGATGATGAAATGGTGCCAATTCTTAACCTCCTCTTGGAGCAGTTCTCATTTCCAGAATATGGAAGCTGGGACGAGGGCACTAGAATGGCAGCATTTTTACAAGCAATGTTTATGGATTCCTGTTCTCTTTCCTGCTTCTGCAGTCTCCGAATAGATCGGCTTTAATGAATCTTGAAAGCCAAACACAGTAGATGCCAGAGGGAAAATGGATTCCTCTCTTGATTCCTACTGCACCTGTCATTCTAGTTGTCTCACAGGGTAGGAAGCTGTCTGTAAGCAGGTGTTTATGTGTACGACTTGGGGTCCCCCAGCTTCATTGGCTCCTGCCGTGCTAGATTGTACGTTATCTGAATGGACACTCAATGAAATGTGAGTGCAGGGAAACCAGCAGCTGGGAGAAAACTCTTTTCTCCTGTTCCTGCCGTGTTTCTCATGTGTAAGAGGTCCTCTGCTCCTTGTTTGCACGAGTCCTAGGATTTGTGCAAAATTGGAGCCTCAGTTTTGCCATCTCCACCTCCAGTTTAAGACGCCTGCTGGTCTCTTCTCTCTGCTCAGTAAGTGCCCTTTGGCTGGTGCCTGTATGGCTGAATTTGATCTCTAGGTTGGTAGCTAAAAAGTCTGAGTCTAGATTAGTGTGATGTACCTGCCTATAACAGTCAAGTTTAAAGCAGATCTTCAGAGTAAAAGAAGAACAGGCTCTGGGTCACATTTATTTCTTTACAGAAAATTAAGTAAGAGTAGCTGGAAGGTTTTATGGTAAAGAAAAAAAAATGGTTTCCTGTCTGTTTACTCTCTGAGGGCTGGATTAGACAGTGAAGTCATAGTCAAAAATGAACTAAGAGTCTTAAGGTCACATGAGATAATGAAAACAGAGCAACTGAAAGATCAAAGGTTTTTATTACTAAGACTAATTTAAAAATAAAATAAAAAAATGAATTTAAGTCAATGTTAAATGCATCTCTGTTAGTTATTCCTCCCCCATTTGGTTGAAGTGTGTGAGCTTATAAGGTATGTTTGTGGAGACTGAGGTGCACCAGCAAGACTGGTCTGTCTTGATATTCTTGATACACTTATCTGTTCAGAGTATATAGTATAGTATATATTGAAACGACAACAAAATGTTTAAAACATTTGACTGGCTTTTGAAATTTTGTTTAATCATAAGGAGGGAATAAGACTTATGAATCTTTTCCAAAGAAAAAAATTAAGTATGCTCTGAAATTTACCCTTTAAGCTTTGCTATATTTGTATACTTATATGTATATTTTTATACAGACACAGATATATTTATAGAATTTTTTATCTAGTATTTCCATGGAATCTCCAGTTCAGCCAGATACCTAGCCATGATTCTGGAACTACTGTTGTGGAAGGCACTGAAAGTAAAGCTTCCCATTAGGCATGTACTCCTGTACCTTGCTGACTTGGAGCTGTATTGTACAGCAGTGCTTACTGTCTAATTCTTGTCTGTTATGAGATCTGTCAATAACCACTGCTTTTGTTTAATACAAAATATACACAGAAGGACTAAGACGTTTTGGAAAATGCATTGGCTGGCATTGAAGGATAGGAATGTCAATAATCGAGGGAGATTGTTATGTTTGTATTTCTCTGTTTTGATCAAAAGCTTGGAGGTGACTTGCCATCTCCATAATCTATACTATATTCTCATGAACAATACTTGTTTAACAGAGTCATTCTGTGTTGATGCTCTTTGTGTTAGGTTGGTACATTAAGATTTTGTGGCACAACGGAATTTGCCAGTGGCCAGTGGGCTGGTGTAGAGCTGGATGAACCAGAAGGAAAGAACAATGGAAGTGTTGGAAAAGTCCAGTACTTCAAGTGTGCACCGAAACGTGGTATAAACTTTAATTTTTTTCTTAAATTTTTTTAAAAACCTGAATTTTTAAAAAAGCGTTGGACTATATGAACCTTTTGGGAGCATAGAAACAGCTAACAAATTCTGTTGCTTTTCTTTGTAGTGCTTTGTTTGGTTGGTTTACTGATTCTTTTAACTGCTCCTCGTGTTTTGGCTGCAGCTATTTGTAAAACCACTGAAACAACCAACAAGTCAAAACTTCTGGTTATTTCCTTGAAACTGTGAGATCGTTATCTTTCCTGTTTTTCCATCTATATTGTTGAAACTATTTGTTTGTGTTGTAACAATAATGGCCATGTTTCTTTACCTGCTTTGTCTTCCTTTTTAAGAGATTCACGCTTGTAGTTGTTTTCTAACTTTCAGCTTGAGATATTTTAATTGATATTTCATGGACAGTCATGATATACAAAGTCTTGTGTTTTCTAACAGCAGAGACTGGATGTTACTGTTAGGACAAAAAGGAGATTCTAATTGATAGTTTTACTGACTTCCTGAATGACTCTGTTCATATTGCTTGATAAGCCTTTTGGTTTCACTGTTCATTTGAGCTAGCCCTTCCTACCCTACAAGTGCTCTGACAGCATAGTAAGCTATGATTGTGGCTGAAAAAACCCTAAATTAATTGATGTAAGAGATAATAGCCTGAAAATTTTGTTACATTAATATTACCCCTGGTTCTTTTTTGGCACATACAATTTTCTCTCCAGGTATCTTTGCACCTCTTTCTAAAATAAGCAAGGCTTCTGATCACAGAAAAAGCTCTGTACGAAGTTCTTCCATGCGGTCTTCACCTTTGGTCAAATCCAAGAAAATAGATGTGACGCACATAACTTCCAAAGTGAATTCTGGTGAGTATTTTCTTCTATGTTGAGAAAGGATAGAGATATACTAATCTTTAAGAATTAGCACCAACCCTGTAAATCTTGGTATTAAAATACTTGTTCGGAATTAGTTCATCACTTGGGATGAGAAGGTGCTAGCCTGTAAACTGGTACTGGAAGGACGTTGTGTGTAGCTGTATAGAGATTTGATGTGCTACGACAGGTTATAGTCTTTACATAATCTCTAAAGAAAAAAAAAGTTCCCCACAACATTTATTCTTGAGCCATTAAAGTAATTTCTGATTGGCTGTGATACCAGTTAAATGTCTAAACTTAATGTGATTCCATTTACTAAGATCTTCTTGGGTAACTTGAAACATCTCACTAAAATAGTGAAAATCTAGAAACTAATCTATATACACCTTTATGTACAGAAATTGAAGAAATTTAATTTATATTCTGGCAAAATTATCAAGGAACTGTTTAACTGATTGTATTTTATCTGCCAGTTAAGTTATCTGAGTAAAACCAGAAGCAAATGAGAAGAGAAAGGATGTCCTGGTAATACGGCCTCAGTCTACTGATTGGAGTTACAGGCTCAGTCCCTGACTCTGGTTTAGTTTCTTCGTAATTTACTCGAATTACTTAATCCTTCTGTGTAAGTTCCCTCCTTGGGAAGTAAGAATTACGCATCTTTTCTGTCTGTTTAGTTTCCAAGGTGTTTGGAGTACAGACGCTTCCCTGCTGTGTGCAGTGCCCACCATGCATAATCTGGCCCTGTGTCTGGCTGACTACATAATAATGTCGTTAAATATATTACATTAGCATTTCTTTTGCCTTTTGAACCCTGTTTAGGTGACTCATACTAAGGTGGCACAGCTTAAGGGATGGAAGATATGCATACATTCTCATCAAATTTACTCAAGCACCCTAAAACACTACACACTTCTACCAGTAATACGCAGGGTATAGAAACACTGTGCCAGGCTGATGGAAGAAGAGATGCATTCTGGCAGCATTTTGGATGACTTATGTAACTCTTCTCTATGTAGATTGAGAGCAAAGTAAGCTTTAACTATGTGTGTTTACAATTAGCACAAGATCTAAGCTATTTATAAATGGACATCTTGCATAAAAAGCTTCTCAGAATAATCACTTTGTTAGGAGTATAGCTCAGGAGCAGATCTAAGCTGACGTTCTCTGTTAAATATTTTTCAATGTTTGATTTAGTTTGTTGTGAACTGTTTGTAACTCATTAAACTATAATGGAAAGGACTGTTTCCTTTGTCACAGACGGTGTGTTCCAGACAGTTTAGCCATAAACCACCTTTCCTGCCACAAAGGTGCATTTATGTCTTTGTAAATTTTACACATTTGATACTTTGCTTTAGGTAAAAATCAGTGAGTTATGCATCATCTGCCCAGCAGAGCTTACATCCACTAACAGTAATCTGGAAGCTGCTGTTTGTAAGATGTTCTTGTGTTGAAAGGTCCATTAGAATTAACGCGCCTGGCTGATTCACTGTCTGGAGTGGGAGGATAAAGCTGCAAAGGCAGAACTTTGTTTTGCAGTGTTTACGTGCATCACCAGATTACATTTCTTTCCTTTAAACTTCATCCCTGCAATACAGTAGTCTGTAATGATCCAAGAAAAATTAGTATGCTTTTTGTAGATATGGTTATAAGCTGCAAAGTAAAATATAATGCTGTATAGAGATTTTCAAATTTGATTTGTTTCTACTGGATTTGAATAACCCATCAGATTGATGATAATAGGTCTCTTTTTCAAGTTTTTAGGAAAAGGATTACTAAGATCAAGTTGAGAAATGTGTTATCAGTCACAAACACTATTTTTTTGATCTGATGCCTTAATAGCTAAACCATAAAATTTTGGAAAATACAGTACACTGGCAAACTAGTTCAGTCCCTGTAGCTGAATTAAGCCGAGAGATGTAGTTAAGTAAAAAAGATGTGATTTTTCTTTCATGACAGGGAGGGGATAAATCATAGATAAGCTTGTTCTTCATTGAGTTAGGGTAGGAAACTGTCAGAAATGCAAAATGACTGTTCACAAATTATAACTTAGGTGGCAGTACTAGTTCATATGCCTATCTCAACATTGCTGTTCTAAGAGTGAGGCTCTTAAAAATCGTATTGGCATACGTACTTCATTATTTGTAGACTGAAGGAAGATTTGGTCTCAAATCTCTCTCAAAACTTCATTGTGTAATCTTCAATGCAGAAATTGTGAAATTAATACTAGTGAATGGTATATCTTAAGTACTATAAAAGTGAATGTTGTGTGTATAATAGATGTAAATGTTTGAAAGATTTAAGTGGAACTCCTTCAATATAAACATTACTATTTTGCAGACAATTTGTTTGGCAAGATTGGACTATTTTAATGTGTTAAGGGGTTTAACATCTGTGCTTATCCATCAAAACAGTTATGTAGTCTTGTTTTACCCATTTATCAAGAGTCTAAGGAATTGTACAGTTTTATCAGTTTTATCCATGCATTCACAAATCTGTCCAATTGTTTTCATACATGACTTTCCTGTAAAATTACTGTTCACTGTTAGGATGTATATATTTAATTGTATATATTCTTTCTACAGGCCTACATATGGCAAAAAAAGACAGTGTTTCTGAAACCAACTTTATGACTGCTAACAGGCGAAAAACTGTATCTGCAAAAGACGGTAAGTAATTTTTTTTTAATTTTTTAAAACTTTGAGAAAAATTTTGGGTAGGGCAGAAGCAGTATTATTACTGCCTTACCTCTGTAACAGTCCTGTATCTACACCATAAAAAAAGTTGCCTTGCCTGTCTGTATTCAAGTGCCAAGCAGGCTGTACACATTTAGTTTTAGTAGGAGTAATTTGTGTGGATATTTGGTTGGCATTCTGTGTTGGTTTGGTAACAGCTTCTGTCCAAATACATGGACAAGAATATAGACAAGCCCTTAAAGCTAAAAGCTGTCCCTTAGTAAATGATGTTACGGAGGATCTGCAGAATTACCTTCTTAGGTTTCTGAGGGAGACCTTTTGCCCTGTATCATTACTGCGTAGATTTTGATGAAGAACTGTGCATGTATTCTGTTGGCATTTTTATTGTCTGTATGTTCAAGCTTGTATAATAAAGTGTTATCATCTAACAGCACTTAACAGTCTTGGCATTGTATCATGGAAGACTCATAATAACAAGCTTCAAATATGAAAAATGAAACTCTAGCTTTTTAAAAAGTTCCTTTTACATATGAATCATTCTCTGCAATTATCTAGTTTCAGAATTGGATAGTGACTTCTACTGCATCAGTATTTTGTTTGCTGAACTTTAAACATAAAGGGACCTTGCTTTCAGGGGTGTCTTTAACAAACTGTAAAAATTAGGTCTCCTTTGATGTTTTGTCTATAAAATCATACTCTTTAAGTGTTTGTAAAAGCAGTATTTCTTTGAAATAATTTGAAGTGGGAATTTGAATATACCTTCTTTGAAGGAAAAGCATTTTTTTAGATCCTCTTGTCAGTGAACAGTTGTGAGAAAGACACTTGGGGAAGAGGTATTTAAGCACTGTCCTGTACGATACGTTCTCAGTGGCGAGCTAAAGAACTTGTGTAGACAGAGATTTCCAACATTTTGTTCATGGAGGGCACTTAATGGCTTGGTCTTCAGGTTCTGGTCACACAATGAAATTATTTGGCAAGTCAGTGTGTCAGTTTGATGGATACAATATGATATCTGCAATTAATAGGACCCCAAAGGCTTTGCAGGCTGTAAATGATACGGAGTGAAGCCTCATTTTGGGATTTAGTGGTTTAGATGATACTGCTATAAGGCAGGTGCAGAACCTTTAGGAAAATCCAACATCCAAGTAGCTGGCAGTGGTTCTTTGGCAAAGGTGGTGGCTATTTCAGCTTGAGGTTTTTCTGGAGTTTGTGCTGAGTCTTGTAATATTTTTTTTTCAATTTTTTTTTTTTTGACACTAGGGATATAGAGTCTGTTCATGAAATTTGCAGTTGATGCCTGGCAGATAGTTGACTGGCTTAATATTAATAAACTCCCCCCCCAACCCTTGACAAATTGGAAAAAAGATCTTGGGGGTGAAAAAAGATGCAGAAAAGTAAGGACAACTACAAAGTTATATAGTAAGGCTGAAACAGTCAACTGTATAAATACACCCTGGGAGTGACATGCCTGGTAATAGTTTGTAGAAAAGGACATGGGGATATTGAGTTTACAAGGTAAACATGGGTCATCTATGTCATACTGTTGCAAGATGGGAAACATACTGGAATGTATAAAAAGGAGTGTCAGCTGTGAGATACATGAAGTGACCTGGATGCTTTACTCGGCATGAGTAAGGCCTCAGCTGAAACACTGCATTTAGTTTAGACACTGCATTTCAAAAAAGATGTGAATCATCACATGGAGAGAATTCCGAGAAGACACCACAAGACCTGGAGGTATAAAACATGACTTAGGAGAAAAGACCGTTGGAATTTGTGTTGTGTGATTAAAAAGGCAGATTAAAGGGGTAAACCAGGAAGCTTTCAAATACAAAGAACAGGATAGCCCATTTTGCATGTGTAATGAGAGTAAGAAATCTTGAGCTAAAACTGTGGTAATTTAGGTTTGTATTAGGGGGAAAAACTCCTGTAACAGTATAGATAGTTATGTGGTGAAATACATTGCTGAGGAAGTCCGAAGATCTCCCTGATGGGAGGTTTTTAAGAACAGGTCAAACACTCACCTGTCAGGAGTGATCTAACAAATAGTTGTTTTGCCTGATGGAAGAGGAATGGATATACGACCTGCTGAAGTCCCTTCTGCTCTTACTTCTCCCGCCCTGTGATTTCCCACAAGCATCTCAACGACTGGTTTAGTTTCAGCAGTTTTGGTGGTGTTCATGTGAAAGTGCTAGGTGGCCTGACCTCCAGTGAATCCATCGCTGGACTGACTTCTAAATACGGACTTGCATTATGTGTTTGCAAATGCAAGCGTAAATTTATACCTTGGACTTGGAGTTGAAGTTTGCCTGTTTAGTCACCATTTATTTAGTAATTTGCATTTTCTTCATTGTAGCATAGCTGCAGCCAATATCTGAGAGTCTTTGGATTTCTGTCCCCAGATACCTAAGCTTTTGCTTTGACCCACTGCATTTGCCTTTCTACAGTTCTTTACTGTTTTGCCAAATTGGAGGATTAAATTATATTGAAGACGCTAACCCTGTGTCGGTATCAAGGTGCTTTGCTAAAACTAATGAATTAAGCCTCTCAGAATTCTGGAAAGTTCGATAAGCAATATTATCTTAATTTTTCACACTGAGAAACTGAGGCATAGACATGTCTTGCTGTACCTGCCTCTCTTGCTGTACCTTCCTCACTTTGGGCAGAAGGTGGTAGGAAAGGGGAGAACTGGGAGAGCCTTGAAAAGGAAGGAGGAAAGCTGAACGTAAGTCTTATTGGACAGTTTAGACATCAGGGTTTGCAAATGGAGATAAAAGTGATTTATTTCCCATTCTTATTTTATAGTACAGATTTTAATATTAATACAGTATGTAATGGAATATAGTAGGCTTTAATCCAGACAATAATTCACTCACATAATATCACCTTCCTTCCACTTTTCATCAAATCTTTAATAGGCTGGATGCTGAAAGTGTGGTGGTATGATCTCTTATTGCTAAGGCTCCCATATTTTAATAAATATGCTTGGGACTGTTTAGAAGAACTTTCACAGAGTAATGAAGAGGCGGCTTCCTCTTCCAGCACTCAACTATCACCTTATTCCCAAGGCAGGGTCAGATGTACCTATGTCATTCCTGACAGGTGTTTGTGTAAATGCTGCTTAACGACTTCTAATTTTGGCTCTTTACTTTGTATTCTGCCCATCATGGAGAACAGATAATTTCCCTCTTACAGAAGCTTTCCCTTTTGCTTAACCTGTCCTTTTCCAAATATGATCTCTGAAGAACTATTTCCATTTATGTCTTTTAGGTTTTCCTGGGTATAGCAGCTCTTCCTCTTCTACTACCTCCTTGGAAGGCAAACAGAATTACTTCAAGAAGCGGAACTCAACTAGCAGCAATAAAAAGGCGGTGACTCGAGTGTCTTCTGCCTCATCTAAAATTAGTGCTGGTACGGTCTGTTTTATTGAGGTGTATTTTCACAGGGGGGAATTTACTGCTGTTTTGAGTGCTTATGTAGAACTACTTGTGCCGTTTCAGAATCTGAGATGGTTCAAGACAGACGCTTGGGAAGTAGTTTAACCATAAACTTAAGCTTGGCAACTTTAAAAAAAATTTTTTTGGAACATCTTCAAGAGGAAAGGTGTTCTTGTAGTTGGTCACTGTACCTTTCAACTGCAGAGAAAAGGCTGTAGTCCACAGTTTTTCATGCTGAAGCAAACCAATTCTTTGTCTAAGCAAAATTTGTGGTGTGTTGTCATGTGTTAAAGGTACACTATGTTAATGTTAGATACTCTATTTACTGATCGTTTGGCTTACTATTGAAGACTTTCTTAAATTTTAAAGATGTAACGTCACTAATTTTAGATCTTGTTCTTCTGTTGAACAGGGTTGTATAGTTCTCCAGCTACGAGGAAAAATCCTTTTGATGAAGGAGAAATTCAGGTTGGAGACAGAGTACTGGTGGTAGGACAGAGGACAGGCACTGTTAGATTTTGTGGGACAACAAAATTTGCACCAGGTATTTGCAATACTCTTTGTGCATGTTTAGAATCAATATGGAATAGCTTACATGTGAGCACATGAACATTGAAAGAATTCCATCTTTTTCCTCACTGTCTACAAAAAAATTCTAACTTTACTGGTTTGTTTCAAAGTTCTTTCTTTCTCCTGTGTTTCACTGAATGTTTTTCACTTCAGTGCAACTGCCAGAAAAAAAAATGGTTTAAAATGTGACTTTTACTTGTCCACTAACATGGCTTAATTAGGGGAAATATTTTCATGTTGAAATTGTAGGTATTGTTACAAAGCTTTCTGAAAATCCTCAGTTTAATCTCCAAAGTGATATATAGTTTATTGAGATCATGTCTTTACTCCTTACTTTCTGTAGTAAGCCTTTTTGACACAGCTCATCTCTTCTAATACTGGTACTCTTATCATGTCATATACCTGTCTCATTCTTATCTTCTTGGCACCTTTAAGAGGGTAATTGTGAGCATTTAAATCTTAATTAACAAACCTTTAGGTCACAGGACAGATGAAAAGTTACAAGCGTCTCAGCCCCAAACCCTACCACCATTTTCTCATCCTTCTCCCTTTCAGCTCCTCCCTCCCTTCCCCTTGCTAAAAACATTGTAGTGAAGCCAGGTATTTTCAAATGGAAGCTAGTTGTTCTATATTCTGGAAACCAATTTCTGAATACTGGTTTTTTTGTAACCAGATTCTATGTTCTTTATGTCTTTGTCTATAATCTTATTGCAAGAGTAATGCAAAACCAGTTGGTAAGTATTGGTTAAGTGAGGTCCATTTGATTGATATGTAAGCGGCAATACTCTCTCTTGACACTTGGTGGCATCGATATTTAAAAAAAAAATGTTAGAATGACAGAATGTAAGACTGTGGTACAAGCTACGTGCTTTTTTCATTCTTGCCCCTTTCCCCAATTTCACTGTAGCCAGTCCTTGCTTAAGGTACTGCAATTAACTGACGCTGCTGCACTTCAGTGTCATCACTCTTTCTTACCTTCGTGTTGTTGCTTACAAGTAAACCATGAGAAAAGGACTGGTTTTCCAAATACACTGTGACAAGTGTGAAATCAGAAAGCTGTTGGTCAGTGTTAAGTCTCCTGCCTCTCCACTCCAAAGTAGGGAACAAAATTTTTTGGAGAAAAACATGGTATTGTAAGAAGCGAGGATGGAGAGATGACAGATCTTCACTATTTGCAAAACCAGTAATTTATAGAAAATGTAACAACAGATGCATTTTTAAGTATTTCAATTTTAATATGTATCAAAACCCTGGAAGTTACCCAAACTTTATTTCTTTTTCTGCAATGCAGATCTTTCTTTAATTCTAAAAGCAGGAAGGGGAGAACTTCTGACGTACCAAGCCCTTCTAATTCATAAGCTGTCATTCCTGAGTTTCTTGAGCTGATAATTAGAATTACCATTTTATCCAGTGCCTTAGTACCAAGTGACTTGAATTAAATTTTGAATCTTTTGGGGATGGATAGCATAAGGACCGCTAATGGAGTATGAAATTTAGCACCTTTACATAATTAGCTCACATTTATCACAGGTTATGAGTGATCAAGCTTATTAACATCTTGATGCCTATTCAGTGTTCTGTATGAGATAAATTGCTGGCCAGTTCCGATTCTTACACCCTTCTCTTGCTATCATACAACGAGCTTTGCAATTTGTATTAATTATAACTTGCTAGATGGAGAGAAGGAATGAATTAATATAAAAACTTTAATTTTACTGTTGATGATCTCAGATGAGGCATAAACCATGCACTCAGAGGATCTAAAGAGGGAAACTTGAACCACCACTGCTCTTTCCGGTCTCCTTTTTGTCAAATAGCCACCGTTACATTCAGTAACGTTCCGTTTGGCTTTAGTATACATATCAAAGGTTTCACCTTTTCTATATTAATTAAAATGTCAGTAATTTTCTTGAAAGCATATAAAAATGCTGAGATAATTATCTTTAGATTTATTCTGATATAAATTTTTGCATAGTTACATAGTTATTTTATAATATATATATTATCTAGACAGTTTCTAACTAGAAACTCTTTTCCTTGATGTGGGTGAATGCCAACTGTACCAGCTGTCTAGATGAAGAAAAGCCTGTGGTGTTTTGTTCAAAATACCATGATTTTACTGTTTTGAAATGTAGGATTCTGGTGTGGAATTGAATTGGACAAGCCTCACGGGAAGAATGATGGTTCCGTGGGAGGCGTTCAGTACTTCAGTTGTCTTCCCAGATACGGTATATTTGCACCACCATCTCGTGTACAGAGGTAAGCACTGAAGGTGTTTTAACATTTGTGTTCCCAAATGCTTTCTTAATACATTTCCAGTGGGAAACAAAGTTTTACAGCAGGTATGGAAGAAAGAAATCTTTTCTTCTGCTAATGGAAGTTTATAACATCTATTAAAAACCTGGTGAGTTTTAGATCAGCTTTTTGAAAGCAGAGTATAAACTGGAAATGCAGCTCCCCATTTCTCTTGCAGCCACTTCTAGTATTTTCATTCCAGGGCCTCCGTTTCTGATACAGTCTGGGTTCATTAAACCTTACTTTCATGACCCAATCCTGATGTGCTGGGTTAAATTTGGTTATCTAAGAAAGTTGTCCTTGGACAGGACTGGAAATACTATTCTCATTCCAGCTAACTGCACAGAGGAACCAAAGCATCCATCACTTTGTAGTCTCTTCATTAGGTTTCATGAAGAACATCTGAGGTGTACTTTGCTCTTTCCTCCTGCATTTATATCTAGTTACTCTGCCAGACATGTTCTTGCTTTTCTTTCCCTGAATATGCTAGCTCAGGCAAACTGTTAAAGAACTTGCCTCAAAATTATACATGCTCTCTTGCTGAGTAAAAGGCAAGTAACTTGAATAAACTAGTTTGCTCCAGGCACCTCTTGCATACCAGCCTGATTACAACTGAAATGTTAGTGTCTCTTGGGGGTGGATGGAGAAGGCAAAGAATCGGCACTTAATCAACATTTGACCAGAAGGACTCCAGCATTACGTTTGTTCAGAGTTGAGTTGAAATTACCTCTTTGTTGTGTTATTGCTTTTCAGGCTAACAGGTTCTCTGGATTCTCTCGCAGAGACTTCGTTGAGTAAAATAAATCACAGTTTTCCAGGTAGGAGCGTAAGACACGCTGATTTGGCTTGGGTAGCCTACCGCAGGCTACCGTTCTACCACCAGAACCTACGGCACAAAGCCCACTTCTCAGAGAGCACAACAGATTTTCAAGAAACCCAAATGCCAGCCAATAGTCTGGCTGCTCCCTTCCTAAAAATGTAGCCTGCAGCAGGAACTGTGGAGTACTATGTTGTTATTAACCCTATATGGGCAGAAATAATTATGTCAGAGTTAAGACTGTTGACACTCTTCCCTTATTACTGTATGGCATTCTAATCAGAGTTATACCATAAATTGAACCTGCCCCTTGATCTAAATTGACATTGATAAAGGGATCAGTGTAGGGAGGGGTCCACATGAAATTACTAAAACTTCTGTGAGATACTTGAAGTAGTTATTTTTCTTTTTCCTTACCCAAGCTTTTTGTGAAAAGGCTGTTTCCAATTACCCTTGTTTGGTTTGTTTAATTTCATTTCTGTCCTCTCTGTGAATTTGAACGTGTTATGAACACTTACTTTCATAAGAAGTTTCATCACTTAATTTCCGAATCGGAGGGGAGAATGTGTAGCAAATGTAGTGGAAGCAGTATAAAAGAAAACACAAAGAATATGAGTTCATAAAGGTTTGTTTGGTTTTTTTTTTTAAGAAGTCTTATACAGCTTATTAACCTTTCCACTTAGGTTTTAGACGCAGTCTAAGCACCACTTCTGCATCTTCACAAAAGGAGATAAACAGAAGAAACTCCTTTGTCAGGTGAGTGTTTTGAGTTTAAAATGTTTTCGTGAGCTGGCTGTTAGCTCTGCTGTTTCTTGTTCAAAAGAAAATCTTTATGCACGTGTAATATCTAGACCTTTACATGTTCATTTTTTTCCTTCTAAAATGGACCAATAGTAGACTATTTTTCCGTGGATATCCAGGAGTATAGTTCTTGCAGTCAGATTGGCGTTAAAATTGTTTTCCAGTTGTTCATTACTGCATATTCTCCAAATTCTTGTTTTTTCACACAGCTGGGTGAAGTTCAGAGAGTCTTGTTATAGGACTTCACTTTGTCCTGGTGATTCTGACGCTGGCACGTTAAAAGTTGTTTTGGCTAAACTCTTTCAAGCCCCAAATAAAATGCTTTGTACTGCTTAATTTACCAATGCTATCACCTACGGTAAATATTGTAGATCCTAGCATCAGGTGAAAGAAAATTGATTTTCCAAGTATTTCAGACTGCCACGTGTACTAGCCTGTTAATGTTATTACATGTTTTGCTAGTGGCATGAGAACAAACCAAATTTTTTAAAAAAGGGATTTGAGTTTTTTTCCCATGCGCTTCACTGAATTACAGATTTACCCTGGATGTTTTGTAGAAAAACAGACCTTTTTTTTTCCTAACTAGATCCAAGAGCTCTGTGTTACGGCGCAGCTGGAGTAATACCACTACAGCTAATGCTGAGGGACCAGTGAAGCTGCATGAAGGCTCTCAGGTTCTTCTGACCAGCTCCAATGAAATGGGGACAATCAGGTACATTGGTCCTACAGACTTTGCACCAGGGATATGGCTCGGACTTGAACTCAGAAGTGCCAAGGGAAAGAATGACGGCTCTGTGGGGGAAAAGCGCTATTTCACCTGTAAGCTGAACCACGGGGTCTTAGTTCGACCTAGCAGAGTAACCTATCGTGGGATTAATGGGGCAAAACTTGTAGATGATATTTGCTGAGCCAGAATGTGCTCATACAATAGGAAATAAGTATTTTAAAGCACACAAGAACCCCATCTAGAATGCAACCTTTTTTTTTTAAATTAATAAATCTGCATTTGCATTTTACATATATATAAGTATATATGTATATGTGTGTATATATAATATATATTTATATATATATATATAAAAAAAAATAGAGAGAGATAAAAAAAGTTCATTTACATTAAGAAGTAAAACCACTATTCTGTTTCTCTTAGTGAAACAGCCCTTGCCTGGGAAGGTTATTGCAAAAGCATCTTGGGTTTGAGATGCTGTGTTATTTGAATAATGTCCCAGTTAGAGAATGCGAGCATCTCCAACGTTCCCTAAAGTTGCTTTGTGATTCATGCCGTATTTAAACGATTTTCCTCTACGTAGTAATGAACTGATAGTGCTTTGTGCATTGCCTGCTTTTGACAGAGGAGGTGGTTAATGAGTGACATTAGTCTGGTTACCAGGCACTTTGTCAATTCCAATACCAGCTGCTAGCAATAAGCAAGCAAAAAAAAAAAACAACACCCCTTTTTCAAGCAGTTGTGAAGTATTTTTACATTTTATCATTCAGATCCTTCCTTTTCTTTTCCCCTCCTGTTCTCCCCTCCAGAACGCAAAAGGGCTGATAAAATACAAGGAGTTGCAGTTATCTTAGTGAACAGCAGCAATTAAATAAAAAGCCTTTAAAAAGCACAAATATGCTGCATGTCAGTCTGTATAGTAAAAAGCACTTTTTGTTGTATGCATTTGTAGAAAGAGCTATGTATAAGAGGCACTCTTTAAAATAATGCACTTTGCACTCTCCTGGAGAGCTTTCCCTCATTTTTAAAGACTTTTTTTGTTTGGTGTGCTGTAGGCTATGAGTATCACAGTTTTTAAATGCAAATAAACCCAGAGTGGAACTATACATAATAGCCTCATCATAAATATTCAGTCTGTATAAATACAGCATGGTAATTCCTGCCAGTGGTATGGATTATATGCAGGGTTTTCAAGCAAGCTATTAACATTATTTGATTTGTTTGTGATACATGTTTCTTTTTGTTTCCTTCAGAACAGTTTCCAGTATAAATTTCATGTCTAAGTCTTATGATAAATTACGGATAGTTTTAGGTGCAGCATTGTTACACACCTTGATGTGACATTATTTGCATATCAGCCTTTTAAAAAAACACCTAATATTTTGTCCATGTTTTAAACATATAATATATTTTAATTGCTCAGCATATGTAGACATTATCTTATCAGGATGGTTTTGTGTTCCAGAACAGTCATTTTATTCTTAAATGATCTGCTTGCTCTTACTTACTTGAAGAAGTGACACTTTAAATTACATCATAATATCCTATTTTTAGACAGAATTTTGCTGCTGTTTACTTTCTTTTAAATATTGCTGTAGCTATTTTTCCTGAGTTGTATTTAAAATAATGCCTATTGTATTCTAACTTATAGGAAATTTTAATTGAATTTAAAAGCTGTAAATTTTGAATGTAAAAAAAATTAATGCTTTATATTTGAAGGTGCAGATATTCAGTGATGTACTGAACTTTACTTTGTCCAATATCTGTTTCTTGCTGGTATTAGTAAAATTGAAACCCCGGTGAATGGTATGGCAAAAAGAATTTTCATTAGGTTGTTACAGAATGTACATCTTCTCACTTCTGTTCTTATGTACAAATTAGGCAAACAGGATACAGCATGGAACAGCAGCTGTAGACTATAAACCAGAAGGTTTTGTATCTCGTAGTTATGCGGTACGGAACTGCCAGTTGTCAAACAAAGCGTTTGTACAGCACGTTTCACTGGTTTGTCCCAGCCTTGCGCTCCTGGGTGGGCAGTTTAGTTTCTGTGATGAAACACTCATTATCAGAAATGCTGTTTTTCCTGCCTGACAAGATGGAATGGATGTAGCTGGAGTCCTTCAGGAGATACGCGGGGGAATAAGTGTGTGGGTAAGGCAGCAAGCTCAGGCAGTTTGTTATAGTCACACCATTTCTGCGTGGCACATCTTGCACAGATGAAGGAATATACGGGAATAACCTCTTTCCAAGAGTTTTCTGATTCATGGGTAACTCTTTTTCTCCAGGGGTGTCAGGCTGCACCTTCCACAGCTCTGTAGCTGCCCCCAGTTCAGCTGTAAGTAAGTGGGGTCTCAGTGGCCTGGGCTAACAAAGACCGCAGGACTTCATTGAATCCTGTCTGATGGGTAGAGGAGAGGGCACTATCAGATGCTATCTGAGCAGTGGTGTAGTGTGCTTTCCCTTCAAGGTAGCTGCACCTTTCTCCTGAAAGCTCTGGCTATAATCAGCTAGACCAGCGTAGGTTAGAGGAGCAAGTCAGGACTGTTATTGCTATGGAGCTGTTTTGGTAGCACTGAATCTTCTGCAAGGAAGCAAGAAGCACTGTAAATTTATGCAGCCTGAAACAGCAATAAATCAGTCCCTCCATTCCAGAAAGGATTACTGATGGGTGTCTTCAAGTTGGTGATGTGAAGGGATTTGCGATTCCCTAAATCCAAGGTAAGTTGCCATAATCCTTTTCTCCAACTCTTGCAGGAGGACACTTCGTGTCGTAAAAAAAATTCTGAAAATAACTGGCAGTGAAGTTTGAAATTAGGTGCTGTGCTGAGGTCTGTACGATCGTAGCCCCAGACTCGTTAGAAAAAAAGACAAATGATCCTCAAAGTCCCTATAAACCATATAAATAAAATATTATCTGTTTTATAAATAAACAAACAGATGGTCCTCAGCAATTCTGTGCTGCCTGTGCAGCCTTTGAGGCTTGTCCTCGTTGCACAGCATGTCTCTCGGGTCCAGTTTCAGAAAATGCACTTCTTCAGTGCTCTCAGCAATGAAATCTTTTGAGCTTGGTTGGACACTGGGCTGGAAAGGAGAGGTCACAGGTGTGACAGGAGGAGGAAATCTTTCTTGAGGTGTCCCAGGATGGAGAATTCATTTCTAGGGAGTTCAGTCCAGTTGGATTCAGTGATTATTTTGCAGATGTTGACAGTAATGGCTTTCTGGGCAGGGTGCCTGTGCTTTTTAAGTGTTGCTATCCGGCAAGATCTGAGGCACAAAGATCCAAAATTGGCACTGCAGATTTGCAAAACGTAACCTAGTTTCTCTGACAAGTTAGTTAGCTCTGTTACCTGTGAGAATGTTGCATAGGGGGCTAGTCCAGCACTTAACGTCATGGCTTTTACAGAGTTCAAATTTTGCAAAGCCTTGTCAAACACCAGGTGGAAACTGAAACTGTGTCCATGAAAGCCACATACCAGAGTACCCACCTGCATCCTTTTTCCTGCCTCGCTGCAGACAGACAATTCTGGAAAAAATGGAAATTATAGCCAAGATTCCCAGCCAGTGCCAAATCAAAACTGTTATGTGACAGCTGTCTGGTGACTAGCTCTACTCCTAGAAGAGCACAGGAGAGAGCTCCCTTTTCAGTTAAGACAGGCAAGAACCAAAGCGTGGGGGAAATGGAGGGAGAGGAGAGGTGCCTGCCAGATACCTGCTCAGGAAAAAAGTCTTGTTAACTAAACCACAGCACTGTCCTGCAGGAGAATAAGGTTTATAGATAAGTCAGTTCTAATTTCAAGGACCATTTCTTGAGAAAGCAGCTACCTCTGGCATAGGAGTGGTACAGGGAAGGGAGAAAAGTGAGCATTCCAGGGCAGGAGCTACCTCTTCCTATCTTTGTCACAGGACTCAGTACTGGCACTCCACTGTACAAAAACACAGCTCATAATTAGACCTACTCGAAGTCCATGTCCAGACCCAAAGAAAAATGCTGTGTTAGGATATAAACATTTAGGAATGAAAATACCCAAATACTCTCTTCCACCATATACTTTGTTCTCTTTTTATACTGGCCAGTTTCCTGTAGGTAAAAGCCACCCTTAGTGTTTTGTAGTAGGAGGAACACCACCTTTCTCTGTAAGAAACTTGGAGGTACGACATTTGCAATGCATACAAGTCTTAAACACACTGCTGCTAGCCGGAAGGGTGGCTGTCTCGGTTTAACATCACACCTGCTCCTTTGTGTGTTGATTTGTCCTTGTTTTAAAGTTACTTCTGCAACTTTACCAAGTAAAAATTGAGATGTCCAGAGACCTCCCTCTGACATTGATCCAATCACTACACAGCCCAAGACAGAGAAAGCCAGCTACAGTCATTTTATTTGTCTTCATGCCTTGTGGTTCACTACACTTGTTTACAATACAAATACACTAGTCAATACAAAATACTCAATGACCATATATTAGTATTTTTCTTTATAGTATCCCTGAAGTGCACAGGCCCTTCCTTTATAAACAATGTTGCATAAACTGCTGTACATGAGAGAGACACTCCTATAATGAAGCTTGTTACTAAAAGAAGCCAGATGCAGACAATTCGGACATTTTCCTGTGATGGGTTTAACTTTGGGACAGACAAACAGTGATGTCTTTGCTGCTGTGAAAGGCTGTTTTATGCTATTCCTATGTCCAGGTTCTCGTCACCCAGAAGATAGGCTCAGTAACAGGAGCAGACATGCAAAGTCAAACCCTTCATAGCCTATTTCAGACCTCTTACATCGTGCAGCGTATGAACGACTGCGCCCAGCGGTGCTGCAGCTGCTCTGGCGCTGAGCCCGCGTCCTTTGGTGAACACAGGGGGAGGGAAGGCGGCGGACCCGCGATACTACACCGCTGCGAAGGGCTGACTCGGCCCTCGTGCTTTCAGCCTGCCGTACCTGTACCTCCCCTCGCTACAGCAAAGCCCCTCTCCCGCTGCCACCACTCCTTCCACTGCTCCTCGAGGAAGCAGAACCAGCCAAACTTCTTGCCTCTCTTCATTTCCAGGCACACGATGGAGAAACAAGGTTCAGTAGCAAAAAGGAAGATGAAGGGGCCACGGGAAAGGCAGATAAACAGGCATCCCAACTTAGTTTACCCTCAGCAGCTTACAGAATCGGAAACCTACCTAACATCTATAGGAAACAGGTAACATCCACATGGAAATAAGCCATTTTCAGAGCATGAGAGTGGTAGAACAGGATTTTCCCAGTCGTGCTT